CGATGCTGTTCTGCTGCATGAGTTCGCGGGCTGTCCACATCGAGGTCATTGCATCATTGGATACATCCAGCTGCATCAATGCACTGAGGCGGTTCCTTGCAATACGTGGACCTGTGAAGCAGATAAGGTCAGACTGTGGGACGAACTTCGTGGCAGCTGCAAAGGAACTAGGGTTGGGTCACAAAGATCCAGAGGCAACCGTGCAAAGGTTCTTAAGTGAACAGAACTGTTCGTGGGTGTTCAACCCCCCTCGTGCATCCCATATGGGAGGGTCATGGGAGCGGCTTATTGGATTATCAAGGCGGATCTTGGACGCAATCCTGCTCAAAGACAACATTCGGCTTACCCATGACGTTTTATGCACTCTCATGATGGAAGTGGCTGCAGTTATCAATGCAAGGCCTCTCGTCCCAGTCTCCAATGACCCAGAGTCACCCTCCATATTATCACCTGCAATGATTCTTACTCAGAAGGTGGGGGTTTCCCCTCCCCAAGGAGAGTTTGCAAACAAGGATCTCTACAGTAAACAGTGGAAACAAGTGCAAGCCCTCGCTGACGAGTTCTGGCGCCGCTGGCGGCAGGAATATCTTCCCACTTTGCAGACCCGAAGGAAGTGGACAGATATGAAGAGGGATCTGAAAGTTGGAGACATTGTGCTCCTAAAGGACTGTCAAGTTGCACGCAACAAGTGGCCTATGGCTAAGATCACTGCGGTCTTTCGAGGACGAGATGGCAAAGTCAGAGAAGTCCAGCTAAATGCATCAAGTCAAGGCTCTTTAAATACTTTTCAGAGGCCGATTAGAGAAGTAGTTCTTCTTTTGCCTACTGACTAAGGTAGTCTTTGTTAAAATGACCTAATAAGTTCAGACGGGGAGTGTTCTGCCTTCCAGGCATTTTAGTTCATTGTGTAAAAGTTTTATTTACGTGCTTTTATTTTGACATGGAAAACACCCGTAGAACAGGAAGTGCTGTGTATGCTTTTATTTTGACATGGAAAACACCCGTAGAACAGGAAGTGCTGTGTACGTGAGTGACCGTTTACTAGCAACGCACGCTGATGCAGAGAGATTGGTCAAAGAGGGAAAGACGTTCTAAAAAATCAGAAAACCGGCAAACCTTTGCTTAACTCTTGAAGAAGCAACGCCTGTATGTATTCATATTTGTTTTACACAGTTTATTGATACATTTGTGCTAAAGACAAGTTTGTGGAGCTAGCTAAACAAGTGGACATTTCTGGCTACTTCTTTCTACCAGCAGTTGGCGTTGTTGCACTGCGTATTAAGCTAATAATAATTCATTTAGTTGTTGTTACCTGTTAAAATATGCCATCTCCGTTTGTGGGCAATCTGTTTCATTCACAGGTGATTTTATTTAGCAGTTATAGGCTTTGAATTCTAATTTATATTTACTGTGAATTAGATATCAATGAAGAGAGAGATGACTCCATTGTTTTTCTTTTCTTTTTCAGTTTTACTCTGTATTCTAAGCGACAGCAAGTATGTGTAATAAATTTGGAGACTACAGGAACACATCTTTCGTCATTGAGTCAGAGTTTAGCTCACTGTCTAGTTGAAACTACCACTACGTCTCAGCGAGGACAGTACAACAAGTGACACATCTTCAAGATAAAACCATGACCTGGATGACTAAGAACCTTCACCAGCATGTTTTAAGGTTTTTTTTTATTATTATTTTTTATTAATTAAACAAAGCCAAATTGTTTCACACATAGCTATGGCTTGATTAATTATCAGTTTTCATGTAATTTCTGGAAGTATTCCAAATGCTGGTTTTATTTTGAAAATACAACTTAAGGAAAAATTTACATTACATTATTTAAAAAATAAAAGATGATGCATAACATTTTTGTGATGCTGTTGTGCTTTACATGTTTAATATTTACTGTATTTAAATTAAGATTGTGCCATTACATTTACCACATTCATTTTAACATAAAGTACAATAATTTGTGTGATTGAAAGAAGTGTGGAATCACAGTAAAAATGACATGTTTCACTTAATTTAGTTTGCCTCATTTGGTGACAGCATGATGTTAGTCATACATAAATCACAGAAATTAAAATAATTTAATGGCATCCAATTGCATAGAGAAGTGTCTCACTAAATGATAAGCCTAATTTAATATCAAAATACAGTAGATTGTTTGATGTCTGCCAGACAATCCTGACATGATTTATGTTTGTGACCATGATTTGTGACATGGTGTCATTTTGACAGTTTAACCCCTGAAACTGGTTGCAGGAGTATGTCAGAGTAAAATTAATAACAATAGTTTAAATCAAAACTAATTAAAGACATATTTAAGCCCTGGGAACAGTAAATCAAAGTGTGAAAAAAAAAACTGGAACACACTGAATGCCTGGTTTGCTTACATATGTAAACAGAGATGCTAATCCACCCACAGACAGACACATAATGTAGTCAGATTTACCCAGTCTGATCTCATTGTAGAGAGGCTCCTCTGGTGTAGCTGCTGATAAACAGGGTTGTTAAAAAAACACGTTGAAGATGCTGCGTGCTTCTGGCAGTTGGAGGTGGTGCAAAACAATATAAACACACAAACAGATGATTTGGGCCCTTTTGAAAGCCTAAATTGAGTAAATGCTTCTGTTTTAACATTTTATAGGTATTTATTCATTATATTCAGAAAGAAAGATAAAAAAAGGTAACATAACCTGTTGACAAATGACAGCTAACACTTGCTTTTAAGGCTTTACTCTGATTTTCTCTTTAACTTTCATAATGAAACATTTTACCATATTTATAAAAAAATAAATAAATAAAACAGATAAATAAATCAAGTTATTTCCGTTATTTGCCTCTAAAATAAATTTGCCTCTCAAACGGAGCCTTTCTGTGCACTTGGAGGATCATACAGAATAAAATTAAAGTGAATTCATGTGTTTATCACAGCAAGAGACAGAAGCAATCACAGCCTTTAAGATGTTCAACAACCAGTTGACATCAGTGATTTATTTCTCAGTTTATATCCCAGTACTACAGAGGTGTGGCCAATGCAACATGGTGATGGTTATGGTGGTCAGTGTTGCATAACGGTGCCAGATGGTTTCGTTGGCTGGCCCACAATACTGTAAGCTTGTTTCCTGAATGTGTTGACATGAGAAAACTGCACAACACACACACGTGCACGCGCACACACAGTGTTTACAGTGTGGATTCGGTCGCACCAACAGGAAGGCTGGTGACAGCAGGTTTATTGAATAACTAAGCTCCTGTTGAGTCATCAGGTTTCTGAGTGGTCACAACAACGTTGGTATGTGTCATGGTTTAAGACAAAACATGAATCTGAGTTATGTTTGATTGCTCTTAGGGCTGGGCGATGGAAAATGTATATTTCAAAATAAATATTTTAAAAATTTTCCTCATTAGACATATGAGAGCAGATCAATAGAAACATTGATATAAAGAACAGGTGAACAGCCAATAATATTAAGTGTTGCTCCATGCTGGACCAATCAGTGGTTGGAATAGAGCCACACAGTAGCATATGCTAATGGATAATGTTTATGTAGCTTTAGCATTTTACTGCAGCTAACAGGTAGGCATGGCTGGTAAAAATAGAAAACAATGAGCACCCTGAAAAGGAAAAAAAATAAAATAAAATAAAAACAGAACACAGAGAATTACATTGTTGACAGTAAGAGACCAAACAGTTCAGTCGGGTCAACGTCTTTTGACTAGCTAACTTCGTAGCTGTGCCGCTAAGCTCAATTCTGCGGAAAGTTGGGGAAAACCACCAACTTCTTTTATTAACCCAAGACAGTTATTTACTAATGTTTGATATGTTCAGCTTTTGAAAAGAAATCTTTAAATCTACAATAACCTTCTGATAGCTTCAAATCTCACTTAAAAATACCAGAGTATCAAAGACTGACAAAAGTAGTGACTTGAGGGTGCAGCAGTAGCTCAGGTGGTAGAACGGGTTGCCTCATGATCGGAGGGTCATGGGTTCGATTCCAGCTCCCGCCAGGGGTATCCTGCTGTTATGTCCTTGGGCAAGACACTTCACCCAACTTGCCTGTGTTGGTGGTGGTCAGAGGGGCTGACGGCGCCAAATGGCAGCCTTGCCTCTGTCAGACCTCCCCAGGGCGGTTGTGGCTACCAGTAGCTTACCATCACTAGTAGTGTGTGAATGTGAGAGTGTGTGAAAGCGTCTTTGGGTGTCTTGAAATGTGCTATATAAGTTCAATGCATTATTATTATTATTATTTGTTTCATATCGAGATATATATCATTAGATTGTTAATTGATACTGTGATAGGATTTTTTGGCATATCGCCCAGCCCTGATTGCATGGCCATCATACTATCCTGCAATATATTTAAATATTTACATGCATTATTTTAAGAAAAGATCACAGCGATCAGAGATGCAGGAGGACAACACGCAGAAGAGAAAGAATAAATAATTTTCTGTAATTTGCACAAAATCCTAATTGAAATTCCAAACAAACTCTCAAGCTGTACTTCCTGTCCCTCTGTATATCTCAAAGGAACATAAGAGGTCTCACCATGAGTGCAGCCACTCTCTTTCTGGCCTTTCTAAGGACAAGAGGGAACTTTTCCCATTAAGCTAATGTGGATTTGATCCATGGTGATGCATGTGAAGAGGCAGGATGTAGGGTGTGGGGTCAATATGGAACAAGGTGTCTGCGGACAGGCGATAAGAGGGAAGAGAGAGGGGAGAACATCAGGTGTGTGTTGAGGGAGGAAGCACTCTAAAGCAAGCTGGACAAACACATTATATGTATGCACACCAACAACCAAAAAGCACAAGGGACCTGCTTGAATTTGCAAGCCCTCTCCTTGCAGTGATCAATGATTTGGAGTGGGAGTGAGCATAACTCTGAAGTGGGTTCAAACAGAACCAAGGACTAACTGTTTCACTGTAAGTGAGGGGGTAACACATCGAGGCATGTGGAAGAGATTCAGGGGTGAGAAGAATGTTATGGAGTTTACCTTCTACGTCATTACAGTCATAGTCTGGAGTGAAGCATGGATGGAGACAAAAGCACACACACAAACACATGAAGGCAAAGCAAACAGCTAAAAACAGCACATTAAAAAAAGTCAATGAAATGAGAGAGAAAGTCAAGCTCGAACATCACTGAAACCACTTCTAGGTTGGGAAGTTGCATGACTGCTTAGCAGCCAACAACAGCGTGTGTTTTACATCTGAGACATAGAAAATAGAAATGTTAGCAGCAACCCTCATGCGAGCCACAAGTTGCAGTGAACTTCCCAGGAGATCCTAAACCCCAGTTGATGTGATAGATTATGCAGTACTTGGATCAAGACAGGCAAAAAGAAACAAGCATGAGATAGCATCGGAAAGGATGGCAAACACCATACCTTTGACCCGTTCCCCACGATTGAGCTGGATCTCTCCCTCCCCCTGTGGGGAGTAGGGCTTGACCACAATGAAGGTACGTCCTGGGACGGCGCTGTAGAGTTTCCGTTTGGGCCCCCGGGGGCCCATCAGTGCTGGAGGCGTGTGATGAGGTGGGCTTGGGTCTCGTTGCACTGAACCAGGGCTGTAAACAAACACATATGTTACTGTGGTGATCCCAGGGAGCTGGTAGCTGAAGCCCGTTGTCACTGACATGGTCGTCAGTGGGACGGCGACCTGATGACACCCCCTGGATGTTATGGTGGCCAGGGTGGGATTCATAGACAAGCCCAAGCACCTGTCAATCAACAGTCAGTGTTCCACAGGAGAGTCATGAGAGGACAGTGTGCTCCTCGCAGACACGCTCCCTCTCCCTGCTCCTTCAGTAGCAAAGACAAGATCCTTGCTCTCTTGTACCCTCTCCTTCTCTCTCTGCCCTCTCTATCACATCCTATTCGAGGTAGTAGAAGAAATGTACATCGGTAGGAGGAGCAGTCCTGTTGCCTTTCCTCTGTGCATCTATCGGGTCCGACTGGAAGCCCCCCTTAGTCAAACACATCCTGAGTTTGGTTTCCGGCAGACGTCACCTCTAAGGAAAACAGAAATCCCCAGAGCACCTCATGCTCCAGGCTGGGCAATATCGCTTCGTCCTCTGGTCCAGGTTCTCCTGCTGGGGAGGAGAGAGGTTAGATCTGCTCCCCAACTCCCGCTCCCTCTCCCTGGAGTCCCGCGGCGTCTGCCTCTCCTCTCCCCTCCACCCCTCACTCACACTCACGCACGCTCTGGCAAAGCTGCTGCTGCTGCTACTCCTGATGATGCTGCTGCTGCTGTGCTGTGTGGCTGCCCTCCGTTTTGACGGCTCGCTCACACTCACACACCACAAGCCCTCTGTGTGCATTCTAGCTGTGCACGCAGGCACAAACACAGACAGCCCCCACCAATCCTGCTAACGGTGCACCTTCGCAGGCATGGCATGCGCCGCCACCAACATGTCGCTGACACACGCGAGCCCCACAGCACGATTGATCTCCTCCTGCATGTCTGCCTAAGAGCGTGCATGCACCATAGCTCCCTGAGGCAGACTGTGTGAGTGTGTGTGTCTGCGCACGTGTGTGTGTGTGTGTGTGTGTGTGTGTGTGTGTGTGTGTGTTTGCAGCTGGGGAGGCAAAAGCTCCAGCCCATTTGGTTTAATTGTTGCTCCTGACTCATTCTTTGTCTTGAATCCCCTCCATCTCTACCTCTCCTCTCTCACTCTCATTCCACCATCTTTCATTCTTCTCCTTCTCCACATTTCTTCACACTGCATCTTCATTCTTTTTCGCTAGCGATGAATTCTAATAGAGCAGCAGAGCTCCGCCTAGTCTTCATTCATCATCACCGCCGCTGTGTAAGTTGCGCTCAGCATCATTCTGCTGCTTGTTGTGAAAGTGTTCTCTCAAGCACCCTTTAAATGTACACTGAAAACAGATTTAATACGTACAATAAATTAATAAATGCATGAAAAATAAAACCCGATGTTTGTGTTAGTGTGAACCTTATCACGCGTCTTCCTCTGATACAAAAACACTGTTGAGTTAATTTTGTGTAAATTGTGTGCAATTTATTAGAATTTTCACAAACAATAATGTCCACCTACTTTCAGATTTACTCTATTAATAGATTTACAATAATCTTAATAGTCACTTTTTTCCTTCATTCAGTCAATCCGATACTACTGTCCTTTTCTTTCTAACTTTTTGTTGACTCAGATTTTTATTTGTTTCTATTTCTTACTTTAAATATTAGTTGTCCTTTTGTCAACTCTTCTCAAAAAAATTTGCGGACAACTTTCCTATTAAAAAAGCATCTGCACCAGAATGTTCTAGATGACAAGCAAAGACAAGTCATACACCGTACGTTGATAACTAAATATATTGTCATATCTGCTGTTAACACTCTTGGATGTTTTCTGGTAAGGAAAGAAAGAAAAGAAAGAAAACGATCTTTCATATAGTGCTTCTCAAGATATAAATCACGAGGCGCTTCACAAAACAAACAAAAATGTTGAAAATGAGAGAAAAAAATTTAATTGTAATAAAAAATAATAATGTAAGGAAAGGAAGAGAGAATTAGAATAGGAAAAAAAGGGAAATCAGTAGATTGTGGGGAATGGTAGAATAAGGAGAGGGTGGAGCACTTACTACACTTATGGTATTTTCTACCTGGCATTACAGAAAGAGCTGTTGTTAGCCACCTTACTTTTAGCTTGCTGTTATAGTTCTGAATGACTCATTAAAGACAGTAAAACGCCCCGATTTACTCATTATTCACTTCACATGAACAGTGAATCCATTTTTGATATCGTCATTTTCTCAGATTTTGTGCATGAAAATAAACATTTTTGAACACTTTCACAACAGTAGCATACGTTTGCTATATACAAAATAATACATTTTAAACTGTAAACTACTTCAATTAGTGCCCTATAAAGGGACAAGTAGGTATGGAATCACAGAAAGGGAGAAATGATATAATAACACAGATAAACACTGTTAGCAGTTGTGAGCTGTGTAAATAAAGTGGGTCAGGAAAAATCAAAAGAAATTCTGCACCATTTAATTGATCCATAATTAGGATTAATGAGCCAAGAAAAATACATGTTAACATTTAAACACCTCAATAACGACTCTGGCCGCCTCCACCTGTGGGTTCACTTTGTATAAATAAAGCTTGAAAACGTCACAGTGCCGTTTTCACAGATGGCATCAAATTAAGCTGCTTCATTGAAGCTTTTTTACGCACGACTGCCCCATGCCTTCTCAGGTAAATGGGTTTCTCCTCAAACAGTCGCTCTCTAAGGTGAGATGTGCAGGAATAATCAGCATCACACTTTGCATCCTAATGGTCATCGCCCTGCCCTTGCCTTGCTGCACATGGATGGATTTAGGTCCTCGTGCTCTTTCCCTCCAAAATGTAGATGTGCTTATATGGCTATGAAGCAGAAAGTGAAATGTCGACATAGAATATTTTGTAAACCATTCTGAGGACATAAATGCACAATATGCTATCTTGATTCATGGGATAATTACTTTCCTGTTGGTGGCCTGCAGATGGGAAAATCTACTGTAATATTTTATTATTGTTAAGTTTCTTATTTTTACCACTTAAAAACATTAATTTAAGTGTTGAAGGAAAGATGTCTGACAACTCAGTGAATAAGACAATTAGCTCCCACTTTTTCCTGATATGCTTTCCGTGGCATCAGTTCAGCAGAGTGCTCCTTTAAAGGGAAACTAGGCAGTTTTGGCTTGTTTTAGCACCCCCTAGTGTCTCCTCGCTGTGTGTTCGCCTTCTTAACACCTTAATCTGACAGCTGAAAACATCTCCCAGCCTTCCTTAGGGTCTACAGGAGCAGTTCAACATTAAATTAAACAAATCAGCTGAGCTTATGATCTAAAACGTGCAGAAAAAATGTTGGAAGCAGACTGCAGCGCCAGTTATGTCAGCTTACTTTTTTCTAAGTCCCAACAGAGCAGCCCGCCAGTCTGAAGTTGCAAGTGGAATATTCTGGTCAGAAAAAGCTCTGGTGCCCTTGCTGACAGTCAGCTTCTACTAGCCAAGCCACGCTCTCCTCTCTCCTGGACACTAAACCAACAACAGCATTCCCTGTCTCAGGCCAAGATGGGTGAATCCATAAATGTTAATTTCACAATGTGACGTGCAATTGAATGGCTTTTCTAATATGAGTGTGTCTATTTTCATATTTTTTGGTTAATGCAGGAAATAGGGGTAGAAGACTATTTTTATATTTGGCCTGCATGGTAAACAGGGTGACTGATCAAGAACAAGTAAAAAAAAACACTAGTTCAGTGAACTTGGACTTTACATTTTGGCAAACTGGACCAGCACAGAATTTGGGTGCGAAGCCTTAAATTTCATCTATAATAGACATTTTGGCATTACTGAAAACAATAAATCATAAAACTGAAACACTGAATGATATTCTCTTCATGTACTTCATCGTTTTCTACAGTCATGTGGCTAATTTAGCATCTAGACTTTTTTTTTCCAGCAACAAAAATCTATAAATTAATTTAAAAAAAAAGGATAAATTACAGGATGTATTAGGCGGACTCAGCTGCAAAGAGCTCTATGTCCTTAATTAATCGAAGGGTTTTTACGAAGTCCTTCAGAGAGTTCCCACGAGTCTTTGGTAAGAAAATAAGATGCTTAAGCTGTTCTTTTGCTCAGCAGTAAATCAGAGAGCCAGGGAAACGGGTGGATCACTTCGACATCAACTGCAAGGATTCCTAGAGATGTTTAAGTTAGATGTTCATTTATTTAAACTACGGCTTGTGATCATGATTTCATAAAAATGACAATGTAAATGACACCTCCTACGTCCCAAAGTTTCCTCTTCAACAGCAGGATCACCACAGAATAAACCCCTGCAGCAGACTCTGACCATGCTGGAGGCTTACATATTTAACCTGACCTAGAATCAGTTTGGAAGTCTCACAGAAGGACCTGGACGACAGCAGCAGCAAGAGAAACAACAAAACTGTCACACTTTTTGAACAACCACAGGAATTCATACTTAAGTGATTTTCATCTTTTTACTTTTTGGTTAAATATATTTAAGATTATACAAACAAAACCAACACCTTAAACGAATAAAATACACTTATTTATGGGGTAATAGGACTTGTGAGTCCATTCTTTTTATGCTTGCTTTTATTCTTACAGTGGTTGTTGTTCAGCTGAATATAACCTTAACATTTTATCAGCATGAAAAATCATTAAAAAAAACTAATTTAGCTCATACTAGCCCACTCAGAAAAGGTCTGAAAACACAACTTGAATTCCAAAGACATTTCTGTCATCAGAATTTTGAATGAGTTGTTTGTAATGAGCCATTTAGTGGCTATGTTGGTTAATCGAACAAATACAAGCTCTAAGAAATTTTATGTCCAGATTTGTTTGACTTTGTTTCTTCATTTTAAGACTATTTTAGAGACTTTAAAGGTGTGGAACACTTGTTTAATTTGCAGTGGTCTCTAGTAGGAATGAATGCCTTATAAGTCATACCTAGGGGAGAAAAAAAACAACAGTGCATCATTTTCAGGAACTAGAAGTGAGCAACATCACAGGTGAGCTTCATACAGA